CTCTCCCTAGTGGGACTCCGTGCGGGGCCGTCTCCTCCCTGTTAGATGCCCCCTCTCTCCCTAGTGGGACTCCGTGCGGGGCCGTCTCCTCCCTGTTAGATGCCCCCTCTCTCCCTAGTGGGACTCCGTGCGGGGCCGTCTCCTCCCTGTTAGATGCCCCCTCTCTCCCTAGTGGGACTCCGTGCGGGGCCGTCTCCTCCCTGTTAGATGCCCCCTCTCTCCCTAGTGGGACTCCGTGCGGGGCCGTCTCCTCCCCCGTTAGATGCCCTCCGGGTCCTGATCCCACACCGGGAAGTACCCCCAGCCCTGGGCCCTGGGGCTCCGAGCCTTGGAGAGGCGGGGAGTGTGGGAATTGTGCCGAGAAAGGCAGGTGGGTTGGAATCGCTGAAGACAGGGAGCTGGATGTGACCCGCCACCGGGCGCCTGTAGTCCAGGTGGGGGCCTCCGCGACTGAGATGAAGACTCTGCGGTGAGTGGACAGCCGGTGCCGTGTGGCTGGCGTGAAGCGCAGCGGTGAGGCCTGCTGGAGGGAAGCGCCCGTGTCACAGCCGTGCGAGCCCTCCCAGGCGAGTTGGCTCAACTGGGTGACTTGCCAGGTTGAGCCACCAGCGGGCGGTTTCGCTGGGCCCACCGGGCGCAGGTGCGGGCTCTGTGGGGGAAGCACGGGTCCGAGTTTGTGGTGGGGAGATGGATGCGGGGGCACAGACGGCGTGCTGGCGGGAAGGCGGCGTCCTTGCTCCCTGTGACCCTGTCTGCGGTGGTTGGCGTTCAGTCCCCCGACGCCTCACTTGCTCTCAGAAAGTGTCAGGAGCAGGATTGGTTGCCTGGCAACAGGCTCCAGCCCAGGAGGGTGGGGAAGGGGTCAGTGATGAGCAGTTATGTACAAACACGTGTGAAGATGCACGGCGACCTGGGAATCGCTCTGGAGCAGCAGGAAGCAGGGGTCTGCTGGCCCCCTCGCGGCCGCTGTGTGTGGGTTTAGGCCCCTCGCGGCTGTTGGTGAATTCCTCGCACTCGTGGTCTGCACCCCGGGCCGCAGGGGAGGAGAACTGGGCCCTGGCCC